CAAAGCGTAGGCGGTGTCCATGCGTGGGTTCGAATCCCACCGAGGCTACTGAACTTTTCGGAATCGAGATAAATTGGGGAGTTTATTTCAAGCGGACGTCAGCAGATTGATTGAAACTCAGGATAAATCACTTTTGGAAAAAATTAGAACGAAAACCAAGAGAACAGGGAGTTTGTCACTGAAGTCAAATGTATGTTGCTCCCTTTTAACCCCCCCCCTCTAGGTGATTCCAACGTCTTCGTTCTCGTTTGGATAGTTCGGGCCATAATTTATTGGTGAACATCACAAACTGAGAGCAAACATTTGGTAAATGCTACAATAAAGGATGGACTGTAACATAATTAATTCAAACAAGTACGACTTAAAGTAAATCAGACAATTTAATCAACGTAACCCTAATCATGCTGCAGCTGTATACTCACTCGATTCCCCGGTCCGAATTGAGACAGATTTTTCATGTTTCCATATTGACTAGGAAGGCAGAAACTATTTGGCGTACACGTTTGACCAAACATTGGACGAACAGGTCCCTAGTTGATGAAAGATATTTAAAAAATCAGGTGAAAATAACGTAAGATTACAGGTCACCAGTGGCGAACATTTTATAAAGAGTCTCATGGATGAGTTGTGGGTTCACCGTCAACGGGAACAGACGAGTCCAAAACACCCGATTAACCTAAATGTGAGTATCAATCTGAGTGATACTTTTCCGATAGACAAAATACCTTTTGTGAAGTGGTTTGTGCAATAATCGATTAAGAGTGATTTAACGTTTGTAATAAAGGGCTTTGAAATCGTTTATACCTTGACACAATCCACAATAATGATGACTTTCGCAGGGCAAATTGGAACTCGAAGGTGAATCTGCTGCGGTTTAATGCAGATAAATACGCACACCTGAAACATGCAAACGTTAACCATCTCTTTTCTCTATTCAACTAACTTGTTATTTGTCGTCGATGAAAAAGTGCTGTAATGGGCCAGTGAATGAGACACCGAAGTCCACCTTGTTTACCGACTGGACCACATCATCATCACCATCGTACAGCGAAATACCGTGAAGCGAACTTCATTGACCGCTGCCAAACTCACAATGCATACAAGGTTAGTGGTAAAATGTAAGGTGGACAGGGG